GCCGGCCGGCCGGCACGCCGGCGGACTGTGTAAGCAGCCATTCAGCAAAATGACCGCAGTGCAAGTAAAGAACCCGCTTGCCTTAAACGGAACTTCCACTAATTAGGCATTGGAAAGATTGCATCAGGGCATAAGATCAGTGATGATCAGATACGTTGATTCGACAGGGGGTATCTTCCGTCTTTCGGGAAACCTCATTGCCATGAATGATGTTGTTCCTCAAAGTCCAGAGCGCATCAAATAGAAACGCATTTTTGTTCTTTTTTGCTTACACATCGCAGTGCTGTTTCTTGACCTTAGGCTTCAACCTTGATACATTTTTGTGGCATACCTCTAGTTGGAATACTGTCCTTGTGAAGTCTGTGGCGTGCGTGAAAGACGACTTTCATCAATAACCTATCCAAAAATCCACAACCGATGGAGCTGCGCAAATGTATGCTTGTGAAACGCGCGATATACGGCTCAATAAGGCGATCAGAGAGTCCTTCTAAGAAAAGGATCTTTTGTTGCTTTTTCGTTGAACAAAGTTCTCGTTGAAGAATGAAAATTAATTTGGTTTGAAGGGAAAAGCGAAAAGCGATCTCGCGCTTTCAAAGAAACTGGAGTGAGTATTGTAGCACAAATACAAACATGGGAGTAGAAAATAGAAATATCTAAATTGATCTCCGATCCGAAAGGTCCAGTTGAGTTCATTGAGCCCCAAAAAACTTTACGTAAAAAGGCTGAAAAGTTTCATTTCGAAGTTTTCTTCCTACCGATTTTCCCAAAGCACATCACTTCCTACCGATTTTCTCGATTGCACGTCAATAGCAAGGCTAGTTGTGATTGTAATTATAACGCAATTGCTACCACGAAAACATGAGAAGAGTTGTGGAGTTCCTATTCCACTCTAGATGAAAACGAGTGGTAGGCTGTCGTGTCCCTCACGTTGTGCCCATCAATCCGGTACCATTTTTTAACCAGAATGGATAAATACAGAACAAGTACCCTGCTCACAGTAGCGGATGCACAATGCGCTTTCCCTGGCCTTAGATCGTTCTAATCATCTTGTTCGAACTGTATCGAACTTATTAGACAATATGAAGGCCGTTACACATGAGATTTTCTTTCAAGTCTTGTATTTGTAAACACATAAACCTGTAGATTTCGCGAAACGTAACTCACGGTTTAATAAGGAGCTCCCAGTATGGTGGAACAAAAGACAGGCATGTTGACCGTAGAAACCGTTGGCCTTATTTTCCATAAATGCTTGGAATTCAGTAGTTTCCGTGTTTTGTTGGTTTTTTGCCATTATTTTCAACTCACTCGTAAGTGGGAAGTGCATTGAAGTAGACAGGATGGAATACATAGATTAGTAGCTATGCGTTAGTAGCTATGTTACTGTTACTTTAATAGCTACTGCAATTTCGATTTTATTCAATTCAGATATATATATATATATATATATATATATATATATATCTGAATTGAATAAAATCGAAATTGCAGTAGCTATTAAAGTAACAGTAACATAGCTACTAACGCATAGCTACTAATCTATGTATTC